GTGACATGGATAGGAGATAAGGAAATGAAGTGGAAAGGATACTGACTGCCAACAAGAAGACTGGAGGTTAATTTTATCTTTTAAGTGCTGAGCAACCTTGGGTCAAGTACTTAGTCTCTCTGGGCTTCACTTTCTTTGTGTGTAAAATAGGGCTAAATAATCTTTACATCTTATTTTATTTTAATGTATTGACTTACCCAAGATTTCCCATATAAGGAATTAAATAAGAATGTTTTTGCAGCTTCAGTTAGAAGACAAGGAGGTCAGTGGCTGTTCTGTCAAAAGCAGGTTGTTGTACCGTCTCTGAGTCTAGGATTTACTGTGGAAACGCCTGAACATGGATGAGGGCCTTGGAGAAGAAGAGATTTAGAAGAATATGGTGCAGTTGGGGTAACAGGTTTATTAGATCTATATACAAGGAAGCATTTATTGATATTTTGTCAAAAACAGGGAACAAGGTAACACACAATATTTTGGCGTGAAGACCAGAGAGCCACAAGAGACCACGATTGAGCTTAAAGACTCTCAAAAGAACACAGACCCTGAACTGACAACTTTCAGGCTGTAGAGTTATCCAGGCCACGTAGTCAATTGTACAATGCAAGCGTCACATGACAAGAAAACACGATCAATGTTATCAATGAGGCAGTTTCTCACGGGGGGGGGGTGGAGAGTGGATTGTGGGGGCCAGGGGTCACTGATGGGAAAGGGTATTAAAATCGCATAAATCCTCCGTATCTTTTTTCCACCTCGGGAACTTCTTTGGAGTAACTTTCTCCTTCCTCATCGGAGGGCAGAGACTCAGCAAAGCGCTTCAGGAAGCCCCCATATCTCTTCTGGTAGTCCATCCACCACTCTGGGCGGCCCACTCTTCTCATGAAGCCCCCATATCTCTTCTGCAGCTCTTTGGCCTCATCTTCCAATTGGGGGCTTCTCTTGAGGCCCCTCATGAAGCCCCCATATCTCTTGCTCACGTCCTCATCATTGTCACTGCCATCCTGGGGGTGGCTCTCTCTCCCGCGGTTGTCACCTGTTCCCAGCAGCTCTTTCAGCAGGTCCGAGGAGTTGGCCAGGGCGTCCCCTTCCTCTGCATCCTTCTTCATGAAGCCCCCGTACCTCTTGGCAAGGACTTCACCTCCGTTGGCCTCTTCTTCGGGTTCCACGGGGTACAGTTCATCCATCTTCTTCATGAAGCCTCCGTACCTCTTCATGAACCCCCCATACTTTTTGGCGAGCACATGGCTCTCTTCCTGCTTGCTGCTCTCTCTGAGGGTGTTGGTGCCATCTTGAGTGAGCTCGGGCTTGGACATCTGCAGGAGTTCCTTGCAGGTTTCCCAGATTTTGAGAGAGGGCAGTTGTCCTTCACATTCCAGGGTGCAAGCCTGGGGAGACAATTGGATGTGAGGATGAAATGAGGCTTCTCTGATTTCCATAAGTCCGCAAATTGGGGACCACTGTATGTTAACTTTGATGTAGAGATTCCCATGGAATAAGATCATCTCCACGTTCATAACCTAACTTTTTAATCACTCAACGGGAAAATGAAACAAAGGAAAACCCGAAAAAGGAAAGTGGGGGAACTGACTAAATCAAATTAGAAACCTGTCTTTGGTTATTAAATCCATTGCACATACTGTGCCATTCCAATATTTTAAAAGACCACCCTAACCGATTTTAACTTAGGATGGTTGCCTTCACAATCTAATTCCACTGTATAATTTTCCCCTCATTTTGTTTGAAAAAAGAAAAAAATTTTTTTTGACCAAAAGAGAGAAATTTCTTTTTACCTACTTAGGGATAGTCCCTTAAAATTCCTTTGATTTTATCTCACCAATAAAATCATTATTGGTAAGGCTCATTGGCTTTCTTTTGTTAATATTTTGCAACAATGGTAGCCAATATTCCTGGAGACACTTTTGTTCTTCAAATAGAAACAACAATTTCAAAATAAATTTTAACAGAAAGACATCCTGAACACATAATTTAAGTCTTATGAATTATTTGAATCCTGATATATTGATTTGCTAAAAATACATTTTCCCTCGATCAGTTAAAACAAGTTTCATCATCTTGAACTGAATGCTAGCAATGATGCAATCAGCTATGAAGTTATACAGATACAAAGGCACAAATTAACAGTGTTCATTTTCTTAAATTGTGTCATTGGTGTAGAGTCAAAATCTTTTTTCCACCTGAAAACATGTTATTCAATAAAATAGGAATGATCAGCATATAATTCTTTTCTTTTATTGTACAATAAATTCAAACCACCGTAAGATGTAAGATGAAAGCTATACATTTTAATGTTCTTCAGATTTTTTTCTATTAAACAGATTACTTGCATATGATGAAAGTAGAGTACTAATATTACAGGAAGGAATATTTATAAAATCTATAAGGTATTTCTTAGCATTTCAGGGATTTTTATATTTGCATCAGATCTACATACAGAACCTAGTTACAGTCACTTGATTTAGACAAAAAAAACCAGGCCCTTTTTTGCTATTTAAAAATATGCTGATACATAAATTGATATTAAATGATATTAAATACACACATATTATTTTAACAATGAAAATTATTTTCTCAAAGAAAACATTTTATTCACGCAACAAAATATTTAGAAAATATAGCCAACCAGCCCTCAATGTTATTTAAGCTTTTTGTGTCTAAGAAAATCATATATATAAATGATATTAAAAAATCAAAAGATGCTCTAATTAAAACTGTCCTGTTTTATCACTAATAATATCTAATTAAGGAATTTAAACATCATTAAAGAGTTAAGATGTTCAAGTGGCAATGATATTTCCATTGCAATAACATTTCCATTCTAAAAAGATAATTTTATGATCTTGTTTACAAAAATTAATGTTTAATATTTTGTATACTTACACCAAAATGCTTTAAAAAACAGTGACAAACAATCACAGCCATCAATGCATCCTTAGTATTGATCACACACTGCATCCTATGGTCAGTATTGTATTAGATGGTAAATACTATTTGGACATCAGTAATGGCATGTCTGCTCATCTTTGCATCCTCCATGGTACCAAGCTCAAGTGTCTTTCACCTGATGGAAGCTCAATAAATATTTGTTACATTGATTTTACTCTTTATTTTCACCCGGGCAACCTCATTTCTCCTATGTCATTGTATCCAAGTTAAAATGACAGAACTGCTGTAATCCCAGCAAAATACACATTAACAAAATCTTTTGTCACTGAGAAAATAAAAACACTAAGTGTTAAGCGCCAATATAAAATAAATCACTTGGTTATTATTCAAAATGTTTTCCTAAGAGGTTTTCTTGTTGTTGTTGATGAAGGCTTATTCTTTTTTTTTTTTCCCATGTTGCTCACACTACATGTGCCATACCATCATCTGGATTAAAAAAAAATCAGGAAGCAAAAATATAAAAAGAATATAAAAAGCGGTGAGGAGAAGTTTGAGAAGGGTGGTTAGTCTCTCTAATGAGTAGAGGCTGAGAAAAGTGGGCATTTTTGGTGATTTCCAGGGAAGGGCTAGCTGCCACACAATGGAGTGCTGCTAGTGTCCCTCAGCAATGGAAAAGGAAGATGAGTAGTATCTTTTGGAGCTTGGTGAAGTGAGCAAATTAAATACAAAGAATAACTTGAAAGGACATTGTTAACTGTCAGTTTTATTAATTCACTGAATAACAAAAATTAATTAAATCTCCAACTACTTTGAGGTCAGGCTGTGTGACTTAAAAAAATCTTCTAAGTTCACATAACCTGAATGTAGATGACAGAGAATCCTAGGCTACCGAACTGAGCCATGTGTGTATCAAGCAGAGACAAAGCTCAAAACACATGTGATGGGGTAGGGGAATTATTGGGTCTGAAAGTGGGATAGTCAATATGGCATGGTTTCAGTTCATTTCTCTCCCATGCATAAAATCCGTCACTTGCAAGATCTATTCTTAGGTTTGTAACATTTGCTCAATTTTGAGGCATAGTTTTAAAGCTCATGACTATAGGAGAAAGAATAACAACGGATAAAGAGGATGGTTCCCCCTACTTAAGATGGAACATTTGCCTCATAGCTTTAAAATATACATTACTACCTGTCTTTTAGGCCATGTTAGCACGTATAAAATGAAACATCAGGAAATTCAAATACTCAAATAAAATACACATTTAACCTGAAATATATACCTTGGATTTCTGGAGTCCTTTCCTCAGTTTTCTTCTCCATTTCAAGCAACACCATAGTATTAAATTTCTTCAAAGGCTCAAGCAGAGCAAGCTGATTAGCTTGGATTAATACATTACTCTACTGAGTTTTTTAGGCATCACAAATCTCAACAAATTGCAGAGGCAGTGCAAAGGAATTATTAAGGCTGTTAGTTAAGAATGAAGCATCTCAAGTCTCAAAACCAGAGAATCTGGTCCGGAAAGCATCAGAGATGATTTAAGGACCAGTGGACTATGTTCAGAATGATAGTCATTTTATCATGACCTCTGGCTAAGCCCTTTGTAGTGTGGTTTATCTTTGGACTGACACCACTTTTCTGGACACTGGCCATCTCTTCTGTGACCTTCTCATAACCAAATTAAACGGTTATTTTAGTCTGTATTATGAAAGTGTGGTCAAGACAAGTTGAATTCAGTCTCCACTTGTTTGTAATTAGGAATTCTTTCTATCCTGTCAATTGTGATTTCCCCTTCCCCTCTTTTTTTTTTTTTTTTATCCCTTTCTCATCTCTTTGCTTGCTCCTATCCATAGGTGAGGGAGCTAGAAAAAAGAAATTCAAAAGGCGGAGATGTCAACAAAAATTGCATTTTTTTTGGGGGGGGGGTAGGAATGATGGTTGAGTGTGAGCGGTCTTTAGCTGGGATGTTAGGAGTTGGGGTGTCTATTGGGGGTGGTCTTCCTTTGGACTGCTTTGGAGAGAACTCAGTGCTATCCAAGGTGCTGAAGAGAGGCCATTTCGGGGTTCTGGGATCCCCAGAGTTAAAACAAACTTGGTTTGTGTGGAGATATCTCTGCTCTAACCAGGGCCAGATAGTCGCGGGTCCCCAACGCTGAGAGCCAGAGAGAGACCTCAGTCAGCGTTCCTAGAACAACCAAGGTACCTGGGTCGTCAAGGGTTCGCGCTTCCGCAACTCTGACCCGTGTGACCAAGTGTCCCCCGAGGCAGGCTCAAGGCTGTCAATGAACTGTCCCGGCGACTAGCTTCACTCACCAAGCGCAACACTTACCAGGAAGTTGATGTCGCCAGGGCGCACTAGGCGGTAGCTGCATGTCGCGCAGTCTTGGCTGCATTCCGCCTGCACAGTAGCCAGGATCCCAGGTCCGAGAGCCAGCAGCCAAGTGCAAAGTCTCAGGAACCGCGCCATGGACTGCGAGGAGAGAAGCACTCGCGCTCAGAGTCTGTCCTGGCGCAGAACGGATCCCTGGGAGAGACCCCTCGCTGAGACAACCCCAGGTGGGAGGGGGTCGTCTAAGCAAGAGCCCTTGGGGACACTTCTTCCTGGGATCCCCCTCCTCGCGCGCTGCACAACTGGGAGACCCAGGAATAGCTCAGATTGTTTTGCTCCCAGGTTGGTGCAGTCACCCCCAGCCAGAGGCACACTGCTATCTTCCTGGGAGTCCCTTGCCCAGGGCAGGGTGATGGAGCAAACAACCAGAGCAAGCTCTTGGGGAAGCACGATGTTGACTGGGGTCACAACGAAGAATCGGGAGAAAGGTGAGAGGAAGCATGCAATGAGAACAAGGGGACGTCCCCAAACCTGCAAGAACAAAGGTGAGTTTGGGGCAAATTCACTCACGTTGACGCTGTTCGGATGGAGCAGGTGGTTGGTAAAATCGGGTCCCAGACAGGATTCTGGAAGGAAGAGAAGAA